CCTATCAGTAGGGCTGTTCATAATAAAAAGGCCCAACCCGACCAAACCGATCAACCCGGATTGACCCAATTCAAGTCGGCCAGGCTTTCATCAGCACCGGTTAGTTTTGGGTTGGGAAAATTTATAAATCGAAATATCGGGTCGGTTTTAGTTTTCTTGTGTAAAAACTGAAACCGACCCGAAACCGAACCGAACTAGTCTTCTACTAGTCCAGTAGTTCCTAACTTCATTGACATGGACAAAAGTAGCTTCTTTTTCAGCCAAAGAAAGGAGTCACATAAAGGGATTAGAAATTTCATAAATAAGGAAACTCTGGAGCTCGGTGTGGGAACGGAAGTCTTACAGCTTCCTTCCTCTAATAGCAGATCAGAATCACTGGGTCTGAATCCAACGTCTCAATTCAAAACTTATGCCCAAATGGCTACCCTATGCACTAAGAAATGACAATCGGGAACCCATACATGAAAAATTCTCTGCTCAATGACAGGTGGTGGTCAACAAAGGTCTGAACAGATTAAGGTTGCTTGCTTACCAGGGAAATACAAAGTTTTTTGAGTGGAACAGGGGTTAGTAAGGTTGATACTGAACCAAATGTGAGACAAGTTTCAGAAATAAAGGTTTGACTACAGGAGCAAAACCGAAACCGACCCAACCGACTAGGTCGGTTTTGCCTATCAGTGGGTCAGTTTCGGTTTCCACCTCAGGTTACCTGACCAGGTCGGGTCGGTTGGGAAAACCCCAGTAAACCGACCCGACCCGACTCGTGTACAACCCTACCTATCAGATCTTCGGATCCGACATGAACAGTATTAGATTGGATATGGATATATCGTATTCAAATCCAATCCATTTGCATCCCTGCATAAATGATTCTAATTGGAGAATATTCTCGGATCGGGTTTGGACACCCGACCCACCCGTAAGTTTTAAAATGATGAACCTCAACTGTAACTATAACCCAATCTAGGTTGGATAGGATTAGTTTACTTTTTTTTCTTTTTTTTTTTTGACCCAATTCTATGAGGCTACGAGTAGGGGTGGATTCGAGCCAAGCCGAGCCGAATAGTGCTAGGCTCGAGCTCGAGCTCGGTTCAAGCCAAAACCTTGAACTCGAGCTCGGCTTGAGTAAAAAATGCATAAGCTCGAACTCAACTCGGCCCAAATTCAATTTTGAGAAAAAATATTTTATAAAAATAAAAATTATATATAAAAATCTTTTTATTTTATATTAAAAAGGGTTAATAATTATAATATTTTTATTATATATTATATATATATTCTTGAGCCGGCTCACAAGCCTCACAAGCCGAGCTCTAATAGGCTCGAGCTCGGCCCATTCAATAATCGAGCCACTGTATTAGGCTCAAGCTCAGTTAAAACCAAATTGAGTCGAACTTTTCACGAGCCAAGCTCGAACAACTTATAAAAAGCTCGGCTTATTGCCACCCCTAACTACAAGTACTAAAAAATCTTGAGCGTGGTTCTTGGCCAAACTGTCATGGCCCAAAAAGCACGACTCCATTTTATAAATCAGGTTTGATGCATGGATGATAATCTCGAATTCTGTTTGGGGTATTATTGTATTGGATCCAATAATATAAATCTCATATCTTATCTCATCGCAATAGGATCTTAAAAGGTTAATTCAAATTTGAATCTCATTCTAGATATCTTAATTCGAATGATTTAATTTTTATAAAATTTGACAATTTATTAAAATTAGCAAAATGTAACACTCTATATAAACAAAAACAACAAATATATGTCTTTTTGTATTAAAAAATAAATGATAAAAATTACAAAATGCAATACTACCCGAGCCTATCGGATAGGATCGGATAGAGGGATCAGACCCAACCCAATTTTAGATCCTATTTTTACGATCCATGTCTGATCCGGGAAATCCAACAAGGGAGAATATCGGAACCCAACAAAAATAGGATCAGATTTGAATTCAAAGCAGATCATGAGCCGGTTCATTTTGTACCTCTGATTTGATTCAAATCAGGGTAGACCCAGTCCCAAACTAGGAAATAAATGTAAACTAAAGATGATCATGGACCCAGTGGCCCAGGCTTGGCCCAGGCTTGTAACATATGATAAAGTGTATAACCTATGCATGGTGTGGTCCATAAGACCTAAAATATAAGTTGCACCCTTACCTGTGCGGGCCCAACCCCAAATATAACATATAATCCGGTCCATAAGACCTAAAATATAACATATGAGCCGGTCCATTTCATTTATGAGGCGGGGGCGCCCTTGTCCCCGCCTCATAGATAAAATATCTATTCCCACCTCGTCCTTGGTGGTGGTACTGGTGGAGTGGGTTCAAGGTGAGGCACCCATTCCTTATCCTCGATAAGGATTCTTAAATGTTCTCTACTCTAAAATTATAAGTTAAAAAGAATATAAAAAATATGGGATATTTTAGAAATGGAATCATGAAAAATTGGAGGTATTTTAAACACGGGATTATGGGAACCTAGGGTTTTGAGAATTTGAAAAAAAAACTAAGAATATTTTAGAAATTAATAATAAACTTAGGGGTATCTTAATAATTTACCACCAATTTTGGAGTGGGTTCAGAAAAATATATACGAACCCCATCTGGGCAAAAAATGTTTTCTCCATCCCACCCATTATGCTAAGATTAAGGAAACCCACTCCATTTAGGCGAGACAGGGTGAAAGAAGGCGCCAATTTAATGGGGAAATTTGTCATCCCTATTGTAGATGTAGACAGTTCCAACTATAAGACTCTACTTGAGAAATGTGTTAATACAAATATTATCATTTTTCATGAATTATACAAATAATTCCCTCAAAGATTAAAAAACAAACAAACAAACAACTTTTCAAGCTTGAGTGTCTTGAATCCTAGCACATTATTATAAATCACATCTCTAGATCAAGCTCATGTCCAACCATATTTGCTTGACTTAATTTTTATTCGTCATGAACTCACTAGGTTGTATTATCATTTTAGACTAGTGGCTTTTGGAGAAAATGGGGTCACTGTAACCTTGGAGGAGAAGCTCTGAGGTGCGTTTGAAGACATTGTCTTTAGAACGTTATTTGCCCCCACTCAGTTTTACCGAGTTTGCTGTTGGGTTACAAGCAAATTCGTTCCCAGGATACAACAAAGCCTTGGGCGAGAGTCTGCAACCAACAAAGTTGAAATGTCTCCAAAGAAACCTTCTGTGAGATTGTAACAGATTGAACAAAGAGAGTGAATTTCGAAATTGTGTGTTTTGGAGTCTGATTCATGCTCCTTAAATAATTTGTGAAGAGGTATGAAGAAAATGTAGGTGCTGGTTTAGAGAAGGCACATTGAACAGTTACAATTTCAAACATTGTGATTGTTTAAAAAATAGTTAACAGCAACGCACCAAAACCAAAGCCACCCATTGTGAGCCACGCGGGTGCGAGCAAAGTGCGCCTCATTGCGTCTCACACACGCGTGCGCGCGCATTGCGCAGTATCGAATCCCCATACTCTCCTCTACTAATTCTAAGGAGTGCAAATCATCTCCTATTGAAATACTGAAAACAAAACTTATAATTTTCCAATGTGGGACAAGTTCAAAACTGAGTTTTGTAAGAGAAAAACTCATTTTTCAATCAAGTGTGCAGGTGCAATTTCTCATGTAATTGACCAATCAAATCCATTGGATTTAATCTCTTATGAGATCAAAATCCAACAGTGGCAAAGGTTGTTTAGTTGGATGACCAATCCATCTTTCAATCACCGCTAATAATCAAGAAAATAAAAAAAAAAGAAAAAATATCTTTCAACCAAGCGGAAAGGTGTCGTCAACGAAAAAAAAAGAAGAAAAAAGCTATATAACAAAAAACGTGTTTAAGCAATTCATATGATATAAAAAAGGCATCATATTTGGTGTTTCTTAAATACATACATTTTTTTTTTCTAGTTGAAATGACACTCATGCATTCTTTTTGGTCAGTACAAAATGCAATGACAATTAAACTGAGTTCTAATTGAATAGTTTGGGTTCAAGTTCGATTAGTTCTAATTGAAGTAAGCTCAATTAGTTATTTAAATTTAAGCTTAGACAATAAAAAATTCTGTTCACGAGCCTGGCTACATTAATATAAACATATATACATAGCACATACATATACACAAATATACATACATTTGCATACACACATACATATGTTATACAAAATATATTTTTATGTTCTATGTATATCACAAGAATATACTATACATTATAAAAAACATATAATGTATATAATATAAAAATATATTCAATTTAGAGCTTTCAAGTCAAATTTGAACTAATAAAATATTAAGACTGCAACTTAGGCTGGGTTGACCTGAACCCAACCCGAAAAGCTGGGTTGGGTTGGATTGAGTCAAGTTGATATTCGGGTTAGGATTTAGGTTTAAACTCATAAACACGATTTTACTTTAGATTGGATAAACCTCAAGCAACTCAAACCCGACTCTAATAATATATGTCATATATAAATATAAATATTACCCATTCTATATACACTTCCCTCGATTGATAGATTGTTCGATGGGCCAGTGGCTGTCTCATCCAGTCATTTTTTTAAGCAATTCTTATGAAATCGAGAAGTCTATCATAAGGTTGGCTGTACACAGAGAGCTATGAAAAATCCGGAAAAGCAAAAACAGTCTTACATGAGCTGCAACATTGACCTTCCGCTATTGAAAGTGACACAATGCAGCTCAATCAACACTGTGTAAACAGTTAAAATACCTATCAGCAATATCAAGAATCTGCTCCACAGATGTATCATGTATCAATTATGCCACCCCGATGCCCACCATTCAAGTTTGAAGGAAATGTTGCCAAAAAATGATAAAAACAAAAAAAACAAATCTTACCAAGTCACTGGGTGATGAGAGAACCCTGTCACACTTCTGATCTAACCACGCAATCATCCCCATAATCACACAGTTCTTAGTTGTAAGTGATGAAAGTAGAGCAGAAAGTCAAGAGAGAGCAGCGAAAGAAGCACCTTGGAGTAGTGTAGTCTATCATATATTCGTACGGTATCCACTTCGGGAAGATACAAGAGTTTCAAATATAATACAAGAATGTTTTTGTGAGTTCTTATGTACAACTGCAACTTACAACAGAAGATGAGTATGGCAGAATTAATGGTTTAGCAAGCACTGTCCATATTCCCACCTGCAAGTCGGCTTGTGAGGGAAGGTCTCATTGTAACAATGGCAGAATCATTTGCTCCTGCCATTAAGGCAGCCCTTCCGGCTTCCAAAAACCTAGCCACTGCATCCTCAGCATACTGGTTTGCCTGACCTACAGTCATGCTCTTGCCAATGTATGGATAGGTGTTGAGAACGTGATCACCATTGAGCTGGGATGCAAGCTGAATCAACTCCACCTGGAACTCCGAGAGGCCCATGTCTTCCTTCGGTCCCCGTGGCCTCAGTGGGGTCACAACTTCTGGCAGTGTTTCTGCAAATATCCATGTTCCAAGGTATTCTAAATTAAGAACCGCAAAAAAGAAATATGGGGAATTCATAGAAAGAAGACTGCAAGCGATTCAATGCCAAACCTACCAGACACGTTAATCATCAATGTAGGAAAAGACGACATTGGATGACCCTAGCATCTAGACCTGACAATTGGGTTGGGTGGGTCGGTTCGGGTTGGGTCGAGACCTTCGGGTTGGATTGTCAAATGCGACCCATGGGTCAATTCGGGTCATCCCAAAAATAACTGAAACTTAAAAAAATAAAGAAAAAGTACATATAAAATGCCAAAATAAAGAGTAAAGACTAAATAGAAAAAAGTAAAGAGTGGAAACTTCCAATAATGCATAAATAGTCCCAATTAGACTTGACAATTGGGTCAGCAGGTTGACCCATGGCCCAACCCAACCCATTTTTTTCTGGGTCGGGTCGGATTGGGTCATTCTCAGATTCAGGTAGCTAAAAATGAGACCCTAACCCTGTTTTTTCTTCGGGTTGGGTTCGCAGGTTGGGTCAACTTTTTGCCAGGTCTACGTAACACCTGATAGTTTCCATTCACAATTCAAAAGTAACTGGGATGTGATTGGCTTGGGGATAAAACAAAAGATGCTTTACTAATTGAAGTGTATATCAATCACTACAGCCATCATTTTGAATTTGGGGAGGCAATACCCCACCATTCTAGACAAGGTACCACAAACCCATAATTGTTCTTTATTACCACAAATGAATTGATGAATTCATGATAAAAAAATGTCATAAAAGGCTCAGTTTGGAAAGAGTACAACTACAAATATGTACAGTGCAAAGCCTAGTATTTTGTACTTCTAAACCTGAATTTGCACTGTACATATTTGTATTTGTATTCTTCCCAAACTGAGCCAAAGGATGTGTAATAAGGAGATACAAACCTGGACAGTCGGTACGGGGAGTGTCACGGAGATGGAAATAATTCTCAAAGGACCCAGCCCATGCATCTCTCTTCGTCAGGAAATTTGATTTGAGGTTGAAAAGCTTTTTTACAGTAGCAGGGATAGAAGAATGTTCAAATTGTGAATATGGAGTTGGCCCGTTAGGCTCATGAATCACTGCACCAAGAACCAAAAAGCAGCTTATAATCCGGTTATTTGAATTTCCAATCTTTTCAAAAAGATGCTACAAGCCTTTCACTTTCAGTAATACATCATAGAGAAGCATTAATTTTGGATATGAATTTGCTTACTAGAGTCCAGATCTGCCACTATCATTACCACTGCGCCACCTGTCTGTGCTACTCACTGCACTTGTATCAGAGTTGAGGATGGATGGCACAAAGTGGTATTGTTAGTAGCCAACATTAGTGGCAGATTTTGAGTCTGGACGTAGGACTAAGTGTCCTATAAACAACAGTAAAAAGGTATCATCTGACTTGGCAGATGCAGTAAATGTAAGTATACATGTAGTTAAATGGATCAAAGAACAGCATAAACAAAATAAACTACTTAGTGGGAGAGGGGGGATTCAGGTTTCGCAAAATAATCACCAAGCTATTTAATATATCTGACAGGACAATCATTTTGAATATCAAACACCTGTGCTGTATGAACTCCAGCTTCATGCAACTAACAGGAAACATCAAGCATAATATTCCTAATGAGTAACAATAGGCCGCGTGATAAATTCTAGGTGCAACATTGATGATGTAGTGTGCTTACTGATTAGACAGCCATTGCACCAGTGAGAAGTGAATTGGTGTGAGTAGAAGCTTTGAAAGAGAAAGAGAAGGCCGAAGAAAACATGAAATGCAACTAACATCACAAAAGAAACCTCTTTATATATTTTAGGACCTTTACATGAACTTGTTTGGGCTTACCTCAAGGGGCTTCGTATAGATATATGAAAATGATCTCATAGAAATAGGAATGCAAGATGTTTAACTACCTGATGTGATACAATTGAGAGAGAAATAAACAAATTGAAAATTTCACATGCTTGAATTGTTGATTGCTTTGAATATTTTTATATGTTATACTTGATTTTATTACTATATTTTCACCTTGAATATGTTCAATATGTTGTGTTCATGTATTTTAATTTGAGCCGGTAGGCCTTTTAGAATATTTAGTTTCTTTTACAATTTAAGTTTGCATCATTTTGAAATAATAATATTTCTAATTTTATTTGATTTTTTTTGAAAATTTTAAAAATGTTGTCTTTCTTCAAAAGGCACAAGAAAGCTTTTTTTTTTTTTCTTGCAAATTGGAAAGTAGACCTCAAAGTTGTTAGTGGCGTGGAGGAGATGTATAATTCTCTCGAGATAGTCCCACAAAGGTAATAAATGATGCAATAGCCTGCAGTGAGATGCCATCTACAAGCAATGTTTTAAAAGGCATGGGAGGTGTGCCTCTGGGCGAGGCACACCAAATCACCCTAAGGCGCATGCTAGAGGCATACACCTCATGCATGCCTCCTATGAAAAGAAAGAAAGAAAAGAAAAAAAATGGAAATGGAAGGAAGGAAAAGAAAAATAAAGAAATTAAGGAAAAGAAAAGAAAGGAAAAGGGAAGAAAGGGAAAGAAAGTTTGGGCTGGGGGCAGAGCCCTAAGGCGCATGCTAGAGGCATACGCCTCATGCATGCCTCCTATGAAAAGAAAGAAAGAAAAGAAAAAAAAAATAGAAACGGAAGGAAGGAAAAGAAAAAGAAAGAAATTAAAGAAAAGAAAAGAAAAGGGAAAGGGAAAGGGAAAGGGAAGAAAGGGGAAGAAAGTTTGGGCTGGGGGCAGAGCTCCCGGATCCCCTTTCATCCTCTTTAGGAGGCTTATGCCTCCCTGTGCTCAAGAGGCTTACGCCTTATGCCTCCACATTTTAAAACATTTCATTGATTGCATGGAGAAATTAAAATGTAGAAGAAGAAAATTTCCTAGTATTCAACTAAGATTTAGAGGGGACCAACTCTTTTCATATTTCAAATCTTACTGAAACCTACAAGTAGCACCACCATGCCTTGGTAAATGGCAAAGGGGGTTTAACGATTAGGTGTTGTTTGTTTGCAATCCATCATTTGCACTGGCACAAATACAAGGGAATACAAATAGAGAGAGTGTAAACAAGTGTAAATGCATCATGGGAGTATAAGTGCTTCCCATTTTATATGAGAAGACAAGGTTAAGGAATGAGTTGCAAAATTTGCATCATTCTTTGGGATGCAAAAGTTGGATCTGCCAATGAGTGGGAATAAGGTAAAAAGTGCAAATTTTATATCAGGTTGGAATGAAACAAACAAGTGGACCATGCACAAGATTTTACACCAAGTTTGGATTTGCACTACAAATAAACAAAATAGTCCTTGTACTTTTTAACCTATCCATTTACTTAAGATCTTGTAGAGCTTTCCAAGTTCATATGGTTTGAAACAAAAGAAGGTCCAGACCAGATCAGTTCTTCAGTGACCATTTAAGCTCTATATCCAAGCTAAATCATAGACTGCAGAATGCACTTTTTATAGGGCTTAATAAGGAAAATGCTTTTTCTACAGGAAAAAAGAGGCCCTTCACGAGGAGATCTATAATTGTCTGTCTTAAAATCCCAATTCTCAAGAAAACGTGGGTCCTTCTACTGTTGAAAATCCCCTGCTTGGTGTCTCAAGAGACTTCTATCCCTTTCCAAACTTCTTGCAAAGGAGTTTGTAAGGAATGAACCAGTCAACAGCCTACACAAGATGAATTCACAAGTAGGAAGTCCTTCCAATTGCAATAAGCAATCTTTAGCTGCAGTCTCCACTAAGCTAGCAAATGAAATAATATATAAGTTTTTGCAAATGAGCTTCATGAACATGACCTTTCATCTGCGCAACTTTTACAGGGCAAAAGAGCAATTCCCCTCCCTGGCGCTGTTTAGTAGACAAACATGCCACAAAGGAACATATGAATGTTACTTCCCTTTATATTTTCTTCTTTTGATTCCTTATTGGTTGTTAATACCTAACAAGAATCTAGAAAGATGTATTACCCAATGATAATACTGGCTATCTGGGGTCTTGGAAGGTAGAGTAAACTGGATATAGACCTAACCTTTGGCATTTCATTTTTGCAATCTGTATGAGGTGGCTGCTTTCAGAGTCAAATCTGAGTTCTCACAATTTGATTTATGAATTGATATGGGAACTTCCTAAGCTGTTATAGAATTCTTTTACTGCCCAAATGGCAAATGCTCCCAAAATAAAGTTGTGGTTGTGATATCAAGCTCTCTTTCACCCAATGAATCTCCAATGTGAAACTCATTTGGATCCTGATCATATAAATTTCAGAAATGTGTTACATTATAGGGCTATACCACTTTTTTCATGTTGTGGCTCTAAGCTTAGATTTTGTTAATATTATATTATCTATTCTTGTACGCAACTCGTGGATGAGCCTGATGGATGAATTTCTTATCAAAGAGGCCTATAAAATTAAAAGATGAAAAAAAAAACCATGTATAATCTAGTTGGAAACCAAAAAATTCCACATGCTCCATTATGTCATTTCACCATCCACCATCTTCTATACACTAGCAACTAGCAAGTTTCAGTACAGAACTCCTTTCCATATGGAAAAGCAAAAATCTTCTTTTGGGTCTTCTTTTCTTCTGGACTTTTGAGATTTCAATAACTGGCTTCATTGGAATGCCCGATGTGTGTTGAGTATATAGTTGATGCCCAAGGTGTTCCTCTTTTGATACATATCATATATTGCACATCATATTTTTGAATTGTTACTGAACAGTTCTGATTGTGGTTTAAAAGCATTCTGCATTCTCATAGATATTCTTTCCTTCATCCATGAAAGATTTTCCAACCTAAATAGCCCTTGCAACATGGACAAAAAGGAAGCCTTAATTTTTTTAATAGGAGTTTCATTACTTAAACTTCAGCATCTCTCAAAAGAAAAAACTTCTTGCTCCACCCATACTGAACCCAATACAAACTCCATTGAAAAACAGAAAACAAGAATAAACACTCAGTATTGCATTGTCACAAACATGGGAACCAGAATTTGATGTGGCTCCAACAACCTGACTCAACAAGAAAAAAAAAAAACAAGGACTTGTGGGCACATCTACACAAAAAAGCATTACCTATTAAAAGAGTTCATGTTTTTTGAATTCTAACATTAAATACCTATGAAAAGCTCCAGAGCTTCATCTTTGTCAGTTAAGGCTCAGTTTCGAACGAGAACAAATACAAATATGTAGAGTGCAAAGCCTTGTATTTTGTATGCATTTGTACTCTTTCCAAACTGAGCCTAATGGTTTCTTTTCTAGAGAGAATGGCATTCATTGAGTATATTTATTTATCCCAAATAAGCAAGTAGACGAGTAACGGAGACAGCACCAACATTGACAATAACAAGTTAAACCCAGAATTTTGAAAACAGCATAAGAATCAAAAAAGCTAACCTGTACCCTTCTCGATCCACGGCGAGATCAATATTGTCGGGACCCGAACACCCAACCTATCGAACCTGAAATAGAAAGGATCAGGCCCAATGATACCGTCCGGATTAGGGACACCGATGACCGGCGTGGGCACATGATCATAGAAACCACCATGTTCATCGTATGTGATCAGCAGCGCCGTCTCGTTCCACTGTGGGCTCGCTCGCAGAGTCTCGTACACCTCCTTAACGAACTTCTGCCCAATGGCGACATCGTGCGATGGATGGTCGTCGTTGGCCGGAGCCAGCTCCACGTCGAAGTACCTTTGCTCGATCACCACGTAATTCGGAAGCTTACCCAACTTGGCGTGCATTTTGAACTTCAATGCGTAGCTGTGGAACTTAACTACGTGCTTAAGTTTTCTCAAGCTCTTGAAGAAGAGAGTTGCAGGGATGTTCTGGTAATAAATCCCAAAGCTAAGGTCACTTTCGTCCAAGGAGTCGAAAATTGTCCTCTGCGGGAACCCATGGATGAGGTCCTTCCGCACGTTGCTGGTGGCTCCATGAGAAGTGGCGGAGTGGACATAAAACCGATTCGGCTGAGTCGAAGCGGGCACTGACGCGAACCACCGATCGAACACGGCGAACTCGTTAGCCAAAGTGGTATAAACCGGCAACAGCGAAGGCTTAAAACCGCTCATAACGGTTTTCGACATGCCCTCACCCATGCTTTCTGCTTGTTGCACAAACCCATTCATCGGAGCCGGATTCGACGAGCAGTTCTCCGACCCAAAAATCTGCTCCCGAATCGCTTGAAACGAGTGGCCGGGATCGGAGTCGACGAACAAAGCATCGTTGGTAACGAAAATCTCCTGCGAATCAATGTCGAAAGCCGATACCCGATTCGACTCTTTACCAGTCAGACCATCGATTTCCGGCCGGGAAGATTTCAGCCAACCCAGAACATGATCAAAAGAGCGATTTTCCATGACTAAAATCACCAGGGTCTTTATTGGCCCTTTGATTTTGCCTTTCTTGTGCCAGTTGACGTCAAGGGAGCGAGAGAAAACGACAAGGTGGAGGAAGAAGACTAGGAGGAGAAGCCGCCGGCAATCCATCTTGGGTGGCTCAGGAACCACTCCGACGGCCGGAGTATCGGAAATCAGAACCCAGAAAGCAGAAAAAGTAGAAACCGGGAAATAAAGTTGGTTGGCCTCGAAGAAAGGAAAAGAGTTTAGAGCAGTTGAAGCCTGTCCAGGACCGTCGAGAGCGTTGAGTTAAGAGTTAAGACGTAGACGACAAGGCTAGTCAATAGACTCAATACTCAATAGGGACCAGCCGGCCAGCGGGCGGCAAATAACGAGATTTTTTTGGATAAAAAAACGAAATTCAAAGGTGTTTATCAGAACAAACAAAAAAATAAAAAGTCATTTGATTTTGTTTTACTTTTTGTGCAATGGCTACAGCATACTAAAGTACGACCGACAAAGGACCCAGCATCTAGAAATCAGGACCGTCTGATCAACAATCACCGAACAGTTTTACATATTTTTTGCCAAGTGAAAGCTGACTAGAGAAACCATGATCTTCCATCTCATTTTGAGTATTATTCTTTCTACGTCAGCCCATAAGTTGTCGGTGTTTAGAGTAAAAACCCTTAAAGTTTTTTAATTTCTTCATAAAAAACGCGCCAAAATTGCTTGTTCCGACACGTATCAGACCGTTGTGGATAGAAACTTATCAAGGTGAAAGAGACCGGGAAAACGAAATACGTGTGATCTCCTAAATTTGCCACGTAAGCTGCAGCTTCGAACAAGTACCCGGAATGACGTTGGTGAGCGTTGTACTCGTAGAATTTTGGGAAAAATGGTTGGGTAGTTGCAAGAAACCGGATTCACTAACTGCAAAGTCCGTTCGAATATTATTGCATTGCATTGGGAATATCTCTTCATGAAATAAAGTATTGAAGTGTGGACATATTCAAACGGTGCTCGAGGGTCTTGCACTAACTGAAGTCTATTTTAGGTAAATGTATTTGTCAGTACTTTAGATGCATTATACAATTTATCATTTTTATTGGTTTATTATATTATGGGTTTCTAGAATATAAGGGCGATTTTGGGGGTTTAATATTAATAAAAGTAATATATTTAAAAAAAATTAAAAATAGGTTAACTTTTTAAAAATAATATCAATAAAGGGCAAAAACATTGTTCATCTTGTTCTTCTTGCCATTTGTTCACCAAAGCCATCGTCCGCCACCACCCGCTACCGCCGTTCACTGCCACTCGCCGTCACCTTAGGCAACGTTGCCGGAGGTGGCGGTGGCGGCGACGGCACTGGTGGTCATTCCTCCGCCCGCTGCCGCTACCACCTCTGTCACCAACCATCTCTGTCAACGTTGTTGAAGGTGGAGGCAGAGGTGGTGGCGTTGGACAAAGAAACCATCAGCGCCATTGCCGCCACCTCTGCCTCCGGCCACCTCCGGCAACATTGCTGAAGGTGGGCGGAGGCGGTAGCGGACGACGGTGGCGGGTGGTGGCGGACAACGACTCTAGTGAACAAAATGGCAAGAAGAAGATGATGAACAGTGTTTTTGCCCTTTATTGATATTATTTTTCAAAAGTTAACCCATTTTTGAATTTTTTTTTAAATATATTACTTTTATTTATATTAAACCCCAAAAGTTGCCCTTATATGCTATTACCCCAAAAAAAGGGTCATCTTTCGTAGTATTATTCAAAATAAGTTTATTTGGGCCTTTAACCACTTATTGATAATTGGGAAATAAGTATGAAATAAATTTTTGTTTTAAAAATAAGGGTTTATTTTTTAAGCCCAACTATCCAGCTTTTTTAAGTGTTTATATAATAAATATACGCACTTATTCAATTTTTTTCTTCCAAAATTGTTTCTAGTTGAATTTTACAAAAGATTTTTATGGAAGCACTTTTATACAAATATTTCTAAAAGTACTGTTATGAAAGTATTTTTATGAAAGCACTTTTAAGAAAATATCCTTACGAAAGTACTTTTACATATGTACTTTTATAAAAGTATTTTTACAAAAGTACTTTTGTAATTTTATAAAGTGCTTTCATGAAATAGTTATTTTTGTAAAAGTGATTTCATAAAAAGTATTTGTAAAAGTACTTTCATATAAATATTTTCATAAAAGTGTTTTTATAAAAATAATTTAATAAAAGTGCTTTCAAAGGGTATATTTTGAAAATTTGAAAGAAAATGAATGACAAAATAGTCACAAAAACTTATTTAAGTGCTTATTAGAGAAAAAGACTACCAAACACCCAATATAAAATAAATGCTTATTTTAACAAATAAGCACTTAAAAAAGTTGGGTGCCAAATGCAAATAAGTGCTTATTCGAATAAATACTTGTTTTTAAGCACTTATTTTTAACTTAAGCACTCCCGAACATGGCCTAGAAGTCTTATTTTTGGGTAAATTACAAAGAGCCCTATGGGCTAATGATAAATACAACTTTAGTATAAATATCCCCGGTTAAAGTTTCGTTAGTTAACTTCAGAAAAAAAATTAATTCAGGTGTTTAACTTTTTTTTAATTATCCTTTTTTATTTATTTGAGCAATTTATGATTCCATTAGTTTTATAAATAGAATATTGAAGTTCTCTCGATTACTGTAATAAATCCTTGTAGATTTTTAGCTATACTTAATATCAAGATGAAATGGTAGAGGTTTGTTTTTAGTAGATCAAAATTTAAGCTTTTGATTGATTTTTCTTATTTATTAAAAAAAGAATGAATATTTTTTTTATATTTTAAGATGAAAAAGAGACATTCATATTAATAAAATAAAATAAGAATAAAGAAAGTTGTTTTCTATATAAGTGAAATGATTCTTATTATTCTAGCCGGTTTGGTTTGAAAAGCAGAGGTAGTTTTCAGTCAATTAGTGTTTGGGAGAAAATGACAATGAAAAGATAATAAGTTTAGATTGGTATTTTGATAAATTTATGTATTTAGTCATCTAACTTAACAGTTGGGAGGTATTTATTGCAAAGTGAAAGTTCATAGAGATCTTGCAAATAAAAGTTTAGGGGGTAATTGCCACTAACCTTAACCCCGCAATTACCCCCTAAACACTAATTGACTGAATAAGCAATTACCCCCTAAACACTAATTGACTGAATAAATCAAAGATACTATCAACCTAGCAATAAATCAAAGATACTATCAACCTAGCAATGTGTAATTTTAAGAGGTGGTGTTTTGACATATTTTTCCAATCAGGTAGATAGGAAAAAGGATACCACCTTTCCAAATGAATGCCCATTCATCAATCTCTCCTACGAGACATATTTTTAATGTACAACTTTAGTGTCATGTGGGTAGGTGTAAATACGGTTCTTGTGGAGTTGTGGGTAGGAGATCTGAATTGATAAGCTTTGGATTTAGATTTATGTGTTCAACCAATCCTGATTTCTTACCCACACCTATCCATAAGACACTACATTTGTACATTGAGTAAATCTCATGTATTGCATATTATCATGGGGGGATGTTCCAATGTACATTTGTAGTATCTTGTGGATAGGAGATTCGAACACGTATCGAACATGGTAACATTTACTCAAAACAATAATTTGATTTTTTTTTTTTTTTTGTATTAAATGGTACCCATGAACCATATGGGGGTCGTAACACTCAGGTCAATTACACAAAAATCTTCAAAATCGATGAAAGTCATTAGTGAGACTCAAATCTGCATCTCGGCTGGGACAACCAGCTAATGTAACAACTTAGCCACCACTTAAGTGGCATAATTTAAATTAATATCATAAAAAAGAATTAATGTAAGAACATCCGGATTTGATTCAACACCCCATGGAGTTCACTTTAACACCCCTGTTAAGTGTGGTAACCAATGTGTTTTGAATGGATATTGATGTAGGTATATTTGGTTGGTCCACTAGATCCTAACATGTGGCATCAGCTAAGGGCATTTTTGACAGAGGAGTTAGCCTCATCCTCTTAACTCCAACTGACAACAAATTGGAGTATCTACTTTGATTTGGTTTCTATACTTCAAGCAATGAACTTGAGTACGAAGTCTTATTTGTCGGTCTCCAGTTAGCAAAAGACCTCGGAGTTGAGCACATTGAAGTCTTTAACGACTCTCAATTGGTTATGAATCAATTAAACGAAAAATATGAGGCCAGAGAACCTAACATGGAAAAGAACCTGTACAAAGTCCGAGATTTGGTCAGACAATTCTAACACTTCACTCTACATCAAGTACCTTGCACTGAGAACTCCCAGGCCTCGGCTGCACCGTGCACATAGAGAAGCTGGTACGCCCCAGCATAGAAGAGAAGCAAGTGTGCCCAGTTCAAGCCGAGCCTTGCTAGATGGATCCCATCCTCTCATACTTACAACATGGGCAACTACCACTAGATAAAAATGAAGCACAAAAGGTTAGACGGTAGTCGATGCGATATGTCATACTGGAGGACAACTTGTACAGAAAATCCTTTACTCTACCCTACCTTAGATGCTTACGCCAAGACGAGGGAGAGTATGTACTGAGAGAAAGCCATGAAGGCCTCTATGGCAATCATCTGGGGGGGCAGAGCCCTTGCACAAAAGGCACTAAGACAAGGGTACTTCCCCCTATCCATTCAGAAGGACACGATCCAGTTCGTACAAAAGTGTAACCGATTCCAAGGACACCCAACATTCCTCATCGGTCAACCACAACCCTCTTGACCCTCAATAATCCTTGGCCATTTGCCAAATAGGAGATGGACATCCTTGGACCTTTCCCTCTAGCTACGGGGAATAGAAGGCACTTGACCATGGCAGTCGATTACTTTACAAAGTGGGTAAAAGAAAAAGCTTTCGCAACAATCACAGGAAGGATGATCCAAAGTTTATTTTGGAATAATATCATTTGTTGCTTTGGCATTCCACACATGCTTGTCACCAACAAAACCATTTTGGACGGGTTGGAAGCATGATTGGATAGAGCCAAAAGACTTTGGGCAGATGAGCTATCTAGCGTGATATGGACATACTGAACAACACCTCAGGCGACCACAGGAGGAAACTCCTTTTAATTGGACATACAAAACTGAAGTCGTCATCACAACAGAGACCAACTCTTCAGATGCAAGCAATAAGTTAAGTCGAGAATAACGAAGAGTTGAGAAACAATCTTGATCTGCTGGAGGGCACCTGAGAGCTAAATCAAATTAGGGTTGCCACGTACCAATAAAGAATTGTAAGATACTACAACTCTCGGGTCAGAGAGAGTCACTTCAAAGAAGGAGACCTCGTCTTCACAAAA